TGAACAATATTTAAAGGTTCCTTTGGATCCTGAGATCTCTGCCTGTATCAGCAGTTTAGCCACTGATGGACTTGAAATCTGAATAGACTATTTGAGAAGGAGGGTAGACCTGAGGAAGATGGGGACTGGTTGGAGGAGATAGGGACGGGGTGGAGGGAGGGGTGGTGCCTTTGAAGGATATCTTGCCCTAACCCTTTTCTTCTTATTTCCCTCTGTTTGTCTACAGGAGCCCAGCTGTTCACCCTTTCCTGAGGCTCATAGCGAGAGACCCAGCTGACCATGGCCCGAAGTCCCCGGAACCATGAACCAAAAAGAAATCTTTCTCTGTGCAAGCCGTGGCTATCAGAGATTCACCAAGGAAACCCAAACAAACCTAGCACATTGCTCTTGAGCAGGTGATGTGGGAAAGCCCACGGAGTGCTCTCAAATGGTGTCTTGTTTTCCATGGCTCGCCACATGACTCTGGGCCTGTGACCCGTGCTGTTTGAACAAAGCTTGATGCTGTGCCAGACCTGTTGACGCACCAAAGCCAGCTGCTTCATGAGGTCGCTGGAATGCCCTGGGGAGTTGAGTGCACAGGAGAATGACTCCCAGGGGTGGTGGGATGCATCACGACAAGCGGAAGAATGTAGGGGTGCTGGGGAGATCTGCGTCCAATCCCTCGCTTCCTGCTCTGGTGAATGCTGGAGGGCTTTCCTTCCACAGCCCCTCCACCTCTCCCCAGGGTCCCTGGGCTCATACTCTGCTCTGGTGGCTTATGAGTCTTCTAGGCTCTTGGACAAAAAGAGATTTTTCACACAGGATGAGTCAGGGAAGCATAGTAGAGTCTCTGCTAGGTGACCCATGGGTGACATGCCAGCTCTGGCAAGATAAGGAGGTCCCCACTGTTGGAAATATTCTTGCAAGAGTTGTGGGAATCACAGTAAGCACCATGCATACAGTGGGCCTCTGTCAGCCCCTCTACAGTGTCTTCTTCTGTAGAAAGCTTCTCAATAAGATAAGACTCAGAGACAGGACACAAGATACCCAACGTCACACAGCTAGAATGTAGTAAAGGCAAAATTCAAACCTGGATCTGCAGGTCCCAGATCCTGACGCAGATGCTATGGTTCAAGTCTGGAATATTCCCCATAGGCAGTGTGTTAATGGTTTTAGGTCATTGGAGACATTTCAGAGAAGGCACTGGGGGATCCTGTCTCTCTTGTTTAATACACGTCTAACCATGAGGTGAACAGCTTGGTTCCATCATGGGATGCCTGCCTCACCACGGGCCCAAGCAATACGATCAATTGATTACAGCCTGGAACCTCTGAAGCCAGGATTGAAAGCAACCTTTTCTCTTTTTAAATTGATTGTATCAGGTGTTTTGTTACAGTAATGGAAAACTGAGTAACACAACAGAGATCTACTGCAAGTGTGATCATGTTGGCCATGAATAGATTCAAAGCTAGAGTAAAACCTTTTTAGGACCCAAACTGAAAAGATTTTAGTTACTCCTCGTTTGTAATTTTAAATAAAACAATGCTAAACTCTAAAATAAGTAAAAAGAATTTCAATAAAGTTGTAACCTTCCCTCTCCACCCCAGAGTACTGACATTGATTTCCACCCAAACACTGAATTATATTAAAAATCTCTCCATCTTTCTTAACCTCTTCACTCCATTTGACTGCCTCATTTTTATCTATTATTTATTTATGCTTATGTGTATGTGTGTGCCTCTCTCTGTGTGCATGCCGCATACATGCAGGTACCCAGAGGCCAGAAGAGGGCTTTGGACCCCCTGGAGCCAGAGTCACAGGCAGCTGTGAGCCGCCTTACGTGGGTGCTGGGAACCGCACCTGGGTCCTCTGCAGGGGCGGCAAGCGCTCTTAATTGACGTGCCGTCTGCCTAGCCCAACTCCCTCTCATTTGAGGTGCCAGACTTTCTGAAGCCCTCTTTCTGCTTAAGCCCTGATCAGGAAGCAATTTCAAATATGTAAGACGAGTCTTATCATCTGTGGTGACTTTGAAATATAAAGCTAAATAGTATTCCACCCAGTCCCCTTCCAACTCAGGGCCTGGAATTCTATCTTTTCTTCCTCTTTTAAGGTTTATTTTTAATTTTATGAGTGTTTGCCTGAGCACCATGAACATGCCTGGCATCCACAGAGGTCAGAAGATGGCACTGGACGGCTGGACCTGAGTTACAGACAGTTCTGAGCTGCCGTGTGGGTGCTGGGAATCGAACCCAGGCTCTCAGTGCTTTTAGCCACTGAGCCATTTCTCCAGCCCTGGATTTCATCATTTTTAAAACAGTGAGCCAGATCAGTTCATCCAATGGCCATGCCTAATACTCTGAGGATATTGTAAATTCTTGTTAAAATATTTTCCTGGAGAGACTGGAGAGATGTGAGAGAAGAAAAGCCATGAGCGTGAATCTCTGCTGACACTTCAGAAGGAAAATTACCATGGAGTGGATGTGCTTTATTTCATATGTAATTTTTCCAAGAAAAACAAACAAACAAACACAATTTCCAGAAAGCTAAGCACACCAATGCAATAAAGAATGGTATTACTGCAAAGATGGAGCGGCTTGCCTGCTTAGATTGTGCCACAGAGTATAATCGGAGGCTGAATAAAAACCCAAACCTATATGTCATAGTTAACTCTTCTATCGCTGTGAAGGGACACCATGACCAAGGCTACTTACAAAAGGAAGCATTTAATTGGGGGCTTGCTTACAGTTTCAGAGGGTTAGTCCATGACCATCATGGGAGGGAGCGTGGCAGGCAGAAATGACATTGGAGCAGCACATAAGAACTTACATCTGTTTTGAAAGTTGTAGGCAGAAAAGAGAGAGCAAACTCTTTGTATATGTTCAGCAAAGGCCCTTCAGAATCCAGAGGCTTAGATGAGGCTGTTGATAAAACTGTCATGCTAGCCAAACTTTATTTTGGTTCCAGTGAGTCACACGGTCTCTGTTCAAGTTTGGCTTTGTGCTTGTGTAAACATTAACTTTAAGATGTTGACCAAACCAATTGCCCAGTAGTGCAGACCAGTATCGACCACAATCTGTCTTCCACATAGTCATGGAGAGATGCAGAGCTGTGCTTCCCACACTCTTGGTCTGTTTGGGCTGCTGTAACCCCAAACCATAAGTTTAATGGCTTAGAGATGGCAGGAATTAATTCCTCACAGCTGATCTGAGAAGTCCAAGACAGAAGCACCTGCAGTTTTGGTGTCTGCCAAAAAAGGCCTGCTTCCCACCTGATGGCGAGAGAGCCGAGGCTTCTCTGGGGCCTCTCTTTGTCTAGGAGGCATCTGGACATAATTATCTCCAACAGCGCAACTTCCAAATCCCCTCACAGCAGTGCTCAGGTGCTAAGATGAACTTGGGCCTGGGGACATGCCCACATTTGGTCTCTAACATCTACTAACCATCTGTAAACATCTGTGGATTGTTGCCCCCCACTAGTGTTTTTACTCTCAGGCCCAGGCTACTTCCTAGATGCATAGGAGCCGACAGACTTCATGAGCTGGGCCAGTGTTAGCTCAGAGGAGTGTACAGAGTCTATTACAGTTGGAATGTGAGGTGTCCTCTGTTAGCTCATGGGTTTGAACACTTGGTCCTCAGCCGGTGGCACTGGTTGGGAAGGTTATGGAATCTTAAGGAGGTGGAGCCTGGCTGGAGGAAATATGTCACTGGGGTGAGCTTTGAGGTTTTATAGGCTGGTTCTACTTCTTTTAAGTCTGCTGACATAATGTGCTGCCTCATGCTTCTGTTACCATTTCTACCCTGCCATAACGGACTGTACCCCTCTGGAACTGTGAGCCAAAATAAGCCCGTTCTCCCCACAGGTTGCTTTTGTTGGGGTATTTTTATCAAAGTAATAGGAATGAAACGAATACGCTGCATTTTGGAATAAGTTTGCTGTCCTTGCTCTGCCCCGGGGACTTTGGGCACACACATGCCTTCTCTAGCTCTGTGACTGTCTACACCCATTTCGTGGGCGGAAGTGGGCACCACCATTTCCTTTCGCTTGATCCTTTTATTTGTCCCAAAGAGTCCAGAGTCACCAGCATCCAGGAAGAAGGAAAAAGGAAATGGAGGGGTAGGAAAACCCTCCGCCACCCCAGTTTCTGGATAGATTCAGTCTCTGCAGTGGCCTCTATCCCACGGAATACCTTGTTAAATGCACTCTGCATTTATTTCTCCTTGGTACCATGTGACAGTAGCTTTGGGCTCAGCTATGGAAGTGTGTCCTAGTTCTCTTTGAATGGCAAAGGTTTGTGATGCACCATTAGGCACATGGGTACCCAGAAACATTCAGGGTTGTCTGTTGTGTTACAAGAGCCAAGCTTCCTTACCTCTGCTGTAGTCTTGTCTCAAGGCTACTTCTTACTTATTTTCTGGATTCTTAGATCTTTGTTTTGAGTTAGCCCATCATGACTTGTCTGGGTCTTGACCATTCAGTTTGGACATGTGCTGCTAACAGCCTGTGTCTTGGCATTTTCTAGTGGGGGAATATGCTTAGCCTTGTTTACGGACTAAGCCACATTCTCAGGCTGTAACCTCTGAGTTGAGTCTTCCAGCCATAACCTCTGAGTTGAGTCTTCCAGCTGAGCAAAAGGCAGAGGGCAGAGCATACAGGAGCCCCCTGGTCTCTGGGTAGGGCTCACGCAAGGCAGGCTTCATGACTCCCAAGACCATTGCTGTCTGTGGACTCCTCAGGAGCCCTTGACCTCCATGGGACTTTTTTTATGTTCTAGAAAGCACACCCTAACAGACACTGGCTTCTGCCTGGAGCCCCAATGCTTCTGAGGCCATGGAAACCACACAAAAGTGAGTATCTATTTCTTGCCCATTCTCCCATGCCCAAGCAGGTGTGACTTCTGAGATCTCACTGGGGCTTGCGGTCTGCCCCTGCCCTGTAGTTAACTTCCAATAGGCACTGTTGTGCAGATTGTGGAAAAGATGCCATTACACCATCTGGAGGAGATGGAATGAGAAGCAGGCAGGTTTGGGGGTATGAAAGCCTTTGTCATTTTATTTTACAATAAAAAATTCTAACAGCGTATGAACACTCTGTTCCCGGCAGAGGCAAAGGACGTACAAAGTTAATTAGAAAGCAAAGCATTGAAATAACAGCTACATTCAAAGCTCCTGTTCGGTACTTTGCCCAATGCATCCAAAGTGGTTTGAGAGAATCACAGTCTGGGTTTTTTCCACCCAGAGTCAAAGCACATGTAGAAACATTTCCATCACCTCCAAACCACAGGCGACAAACAACGTTAACAGCAACTCCATGTGGGCCGACTTTTGCGGGCTATTACAAACTGCAGAATTCTTTTATTTTTCCTTGATAAGAAATTGTGTCATTGAACACATGACAACGCAAATTACCTCAGTGGGTAGCAGGAGCTGGATCAAACCGAACTCTGAAACGGATAGTTTTAATAGCAAATTCTTCCAGTACACTTTCCAAACCGTGTTCAGACACATTGTACACACGCTCCTCACAACCGCCATGGGAGGTAGGAAGTACAGATGTTATTATTCCCATTTGACCCACGAGGAGTCACAGACTAGTTCAAAGTCAGTCACTCAAGTTCTAGAGTATTTACACCTTCTCAAAATTTCCAGTCCAACAACACTCCTCTGATTTTGTTTGGTACATTTCCCTTTTTTTTTTTCTCTCCTTAATTTAAGTGAGGGTGGAGATGAGTTTAGACCCAAAGAAGAAACAAAGGAGAGGAAGGTGAGGCCATGGTTAATTTATGTAAAGTACATTGGATGGCCTCCTTCCATCATTTACAAGAGCCTGAGCAAGGCCAGAGGACGAAACAATTAGTCTCTAGATTTATCAGGATGTTCTAGACTTCTAATAGGATGGCTCTGACTCAAGTATGGGTTTGACCTCTGAGGCTAAATTCCACCTTCTCGAAACTTCCCTCCTTTTGAAACCTACAGAATCAAAGCAACTCAACATCTTCTAAGAGAATTTGTTTCTGGTACAATTAGTTTCCTAAACACCCCTTTTCAGAAACACCTACATTTCAGTATTGACTGCCACCTAGGATTCTGTAACAGTTCAGGTCAGCAGTCAGGAGACCTTGCAGTTCTCAGGACACTAACTGCTTGTAGCCAGAAGGTCAGAGTCATGGTAGGTAGCATCCCTTTCACTGGAAACCAATTTTGTTTCAAAGAGACTCCACGGCAAGGCTCATCAGTTTTCTCATCCATGCAAATGTGTGGCTGGGAGCCACAATAATAGCACCTGGGCTAAGACCATGCAATTCAATTTACAAGTATTGTCTGCTGAGCTGAGCAAGACACTAAGTTAACCGGGCCTTGGTCAGAGATCTCTGCTGTGGCCCAGCAGTGGCATTCAGGAACTAGTGTGGGTGGGGTGGGAGGTATCTGGGGGTAGTCTAGCCCGTCTACAGGGGGTCCAAGTGTGTGCACTCTCACCTGATGTACAAGTGGGAGATGCCTTGCCCGGGGTGAGGGGCAGTATCTAGAGGGCTGGCTGCCCGGTGGGATCTTAGGGGTATGGTCAGTTCCAGTCTGTGGCAGGCTCCTTTAGAGAGTCCTGCTCCTGCTCACTGATCATGTTCCTTCCTCTGGGTACCAACCCTCAACAAGAGCTCCTGCCAAACGGGTCAACTGAGGGACCGCACTTGCAGAACATAACCCTGTCTCTTTGCTTACAGCTGACTGGATGGGCACCTGACCTGAGGGCAGCTTAGCCACAGGCAGATAGTTAGGAACTGAACCAGATTCTCAAGCATTGGCCTAACGGGGGCTCAAAGATGCTAATCCGAGAGCAGTCTGCACTGGGAAGGGAAAGTGTAGTGTGAGTCCTGAGGTGTGCATTTGCTTCCTATGCACTAGTGAGTAGGCTGTTTGAGCAAGCAAGAGGATGGGTTGAGAGAAGCAGATGAAAGCCGGTGAGGGGAGAGAAGGCCGGAGAAAGAGCCATCAGGAAGAAGCGCTGGGTAATGGCCACCTGCCTTTTGCCACATCGGCCCTTTGCTTCTGTAATTTACCCCCATGTCTTTCCGTCAGCCCCTGCGCTGAAGTAAGGCTGAGCAGGTTTCTAGTCCTTGAGAAGTTCCAACACTGGAACACCTTTGAGGTTGGCCTAGATGGCAGAATCTAACTCCTAATTCTTGGACCCAGTCAGTGACAAGCTAAATTATACTTACACCTTGAGAGTCTTGGACTGTAATTTGAAAGGGAAGTCCAAATTCTAAATTCAGGTCTAAGTTCAAATCTTTTTCTCAAACTTGAAAACTTCTATTACATTCATTATACACTTAACTTTGAGCATTTGTGTGTTATGTGGAAAAAATGAGGCTCATTTATATGAAATCAATATTTTTTGATCCATTTCAATTTTTGCCTCGCTGGGAAGTATTTCTTTTACTTAGATGTAAGAATTTCACACATCTTCCATTCTACCTACTCTCACAGAAGGTTTTCTTTTTAATCACAGATTTTATAATTTCCTTTATTGACTAAAAATTATTTAGAAATTACATGTTTTTGGTATTTGTCTTTTTTTCCCCCTGGGCTCTTAAAATAACAAGTACACAGCATTACTTCCCCTGGGACAGTGAGTTGCCTTGAACCCTTCAAGAGGCAACTTCCCAGTCTATAGTTCACAGTTGCCATCTTGTTCCTGCATAAGCCTTGGGTCACAGGCACCAGGCCACACAATGGAGCTTTATGTTCTTGCCCTACTAGGTCACCTGATGAACGGACAGAGTGTCAGTACATCCTGGCCTGCCTTTTTGACCCATGGTGCTGAATGAGTAAGTTACCTCCACTGGCTTCCAACCAAGGACATTGTTTCTTCGGTGGTATTCTCTGGGAAAAAAAATGATCAACCCCCTCTTTTGGCAAGAGTATTATGGAGTCCCCCACATGACTCTTGCCTATTTTTTACATTTCTGGGCACAGTTAAAGAAATGTGTCTCCAACAAGTGTACAGGCAGCATGGTGAAATGGAGAGCAGGCTGGGGCATGGATCAGCAGGCTGGGGCTCAACCCTTCATTTGTCTGGACATTGGCTTTCCCCTTCCAAGTCACTGAAATCCTCTATGGCTTCTGTGCCTGTCTGGAAGATCACGACACTTCGACCACACCGCTGCCCTCTCTGGGCTCTCTTGGAACCCCATGTTCACATCTATGTAGTGATTGACCATCTGAACTTCTCATGGTCTCCTGTCCTGGGACCTATCACCTCTAGACAGTTAGGAGACTCTTTAGAGAAGGGGCCACATCTCAGTCCCAGCAGGCTTTAATGATGGTGGAAAAACATGAACATATTTTTTTTTTAATTAATTTAAGGTTTTCTTCGCATAGACTTCTTGAACCCACAGTATCTAGTTTAATAGTATCTGATTTATCATGCTATATTTTAATTGTCTCAATGAACTAAATATTTCATGGGGTTCAGTGAGCTGTAGCTCCATTGTCCTGACTATCTGGAGCCACACCACTAACTCTAGATTCATGATCTAGAAGTTACTGGAACCCAAAGCTTAGAAGCATTCATACTCTATAGTCTAGAAACTTTTCTCTCATATTCCAAACATTTACCAAGTCCACACAGTACTGTGCTGATCCCACTGCACTGATGAAATATTGATATTATTGATAAAGTGGAACAATGCATCTGGCTTTATCAGACTCACATCATTTGCATGAAAAGGCTGAGTTTCTTTGGCTTTGTCCACTCAAGTGCATCGATTGCCTGTTTGGATAGACTTAGGCGTCGTGTTAACCTGTCAGTAAAAACTTGTACTGTCCACAGTGTTCTGCAAGCTGATTTCAGTTTTGGACTACAACTGGCCATTGGTAGAAATATACCATATATACACATGGAAATTACAAAAATACATTTTATTTATAGCTGATTTCTTATTAAGTAACAAAAAACTAACACTATGAAAGATCAACCAGCAATACTAAAAGAACACTAGCTAACATCATCCCCACAAGAGACTTGTCTGGAGATTCCATGACATATCTCTGAACATTCCAGAAAGGACAATTTGCCATAGGGAAATAAAAACAGCTTCTTGGGAAAGTCTGTGCTTTGACAGTTGGAATCTCCCATTCTAATCAGTTCCAATCCTACTCTTAAGTTTCCTCTCTCTTCTTTCAGTAAAGGCCAAAGAAACTCATGAAGACAATGGATAGATGGGGTCAGAGGGGCATGGGTACAGCTGAAAGCTAGATGGGTCATGGGTGAAGGCAGGATAGGACCATATTCTCCAACAGACACCAGATAAGCTCCCCTCCCCGACATCATATATGGCTCCCAAAATTGGGGAAGAAACTCAGGGTTCCCTTTTCCCGTGGTACCCCAAATCAGTTTTATTTGCACAGAGGGGTCATCAGTGGCCGGTACCCAAGAGCTACAAGGCAGTGTTTCTGCCCAGGACTCTGGAGGCTGATGCTTCATGCCAGGGAGAGTAGCATGAAGCAGTGCCATCCCAAGGTAGCATCCTGCCATCTCAGCCAATGTCCCCCTGCATCCATCCACCATGGAGAACTGGTGAACACCACAGACTTTTAAAAAGATGCTTCGCATTTCATCTCAACTCAGATTTTCTACATTCCGAAGCTTCTAGAAGCAGAGGCTGCAGTGTGGGGTGACTGTGGATCCATCTTTCCCATCTCGAACGTAACCAGTAATGGTTTCCTTTGTACCATTCCACAGCACATGCTGGACTCCACTATGGAGGAGACATCTTGTTAAAGTTGCTGTATCTATTATTTCCCTCAGATGGCCAGGTTCTCAGGCCATCTTCAATACAAAGAGAAACCTCCACACATAACTGCTTCTCTTTTACAGGCTCCCAAGCCTCCTAGCACCGATTCTCTTTCATTTGGATCCAGTTTGCAGGAGACCTCATTTCCAAAATGACAACACTTTTTAAACAGCCTGTCAACACAAGTCCACCATTCTGGCTCATCGTCTCTCTTTCTTGGCCTTTAATTAACAGGTGTGTGTGTGTGGAGGGGGAGAGTCAGGACTATTTATAGGCACAGCCATTGGAACTGATTTCCATCCAATTCATTTGACTTTGAACATGAGCCTTTAAAAGCAAAGAGACTCAAGTTTCTTGGCTGGAGAGGCAGCGTCTCTCTTACAGACTAGAGGTGATTTTTAAAGTGATCACGGTCATGGCTCAATGAGAGAGTACAGTCTGGTGGTTAATCACACTCCTGTGTTGCCTTTAACACAGAAAGAGAACATGCAGAGGTCACTGAAGACAGAGAGGCATTCTCTCCCTTCTGGCGATTTACTAAAATGGGACATTGGACAGGGACCTGCAGGCTAACTCGAGCCTCTCACGACTAGGGCTCCTTAGGGAAATTCCACCCACAGTTCAAACATTCAGCCCAACAGAACATCAAACGCAGGGTCCCAGCTAGGGACTTGTTGACCCACAATTGGCTGCAGGAGTCAGAATCCAGTTGTTCACAAGTTTTCTGTTTCCCAGCAGCCCCACCGCTGGGCATTTTTAGAATCTGAGGATGAGAAAGACCCATGCATTGTCTGGAGCCCCCACACATTAGGGCCGAGGAGCCCGAAGCCCGCTTGTTGTCTCACAGTCTTCAAGTGCAGATTCCCTCAGGGCTGAGGCGTTAGACCTGGAACTCAAACATGTCTGTCTGCTTCTTGGCCAGCTTGGCCACTTCCTCCCGGATAGCCTTCACGAGGGCTGCGGTAGAGATGTTGGTCAACGGAGTGTCTGGAGGCTCATTTTCCGTCAGGCTCTGCTGTGAGGCAGCTGTGGAGGGGACAGGGGCCTGCTCTAGGCTTGGGTGAAGGTTGGTGGGCTGGCTATACTGGCGAGGGAGTCTGGAGGGTGAGCTCTGCTGATAACGTGACCTCGGATAGGCCTCGATGTACCCGGGAAGAGGGACCTGCACAGGAGGTGGAGAGAGGAGGAGAGACTCATGTTAGGAGGGAGCTCAAGGCACAGGATACACCCAATACTGGGAGCAGGAGGCCACTGAGGTCAAGGAAAGGGGTTTAGAGGAGAATTCAAATCATACGCTATCCCAGCGACAGCCCTTCCAATCTGGAGTCAGTTTCTTTAGCAAACAGCTATTTTGAACTCACTAAGTAGGATGGCTGGATGAATTACACAGGTGTTTTTCAACTTTGCTGAGAACGTTAAGAACACACCTGAGCTCACAGTTAGATGACCCTGCCTTTTCTTTTTAACTTAAGTACAACCGAGTAAACAGAACTATGGCAAGGGAGTCCGGAGGCTTTTCACTACTACGAATAGCTAGTATCCATTGAGCCCTAATGATTTTCTCATAGTGTCTCGTTTAATTCTGCAGCATCAACCTCCGCGCAGGGGTCATCCTCGTTTCTTAGGTGAGCACACTGAAGCAAAGGGTACCGCCATCTAAGGAAACAGCCACCAAGCCACGGTCTGCACAGGTGCATCTGGCTCCAAGTGCTGGGAATTAATTTGTGCACTACAGTGTTTTTTGTATAGGTACACTACCATATTCTTGGAAAAAAAAACCTCTTTTCATTAAAAGTAGGAGACATACCATTCTCTACTTAAACAACAGAAGTCTCTAGGAATAAAGACAAGCAAAAAATTTAGAATCTATGGATAGCTTGCCCACAGAAACAGTACCATATGTGGGCTGTATTTGGTCCACACAGACCTTTGTATCCCAGGATGCTGGCTGGAATGCTGGGAAAAGGAATACCGAGGATGTAGGCACACGGTACTGTAGGGCAGGCAGAGACCAAGTGTTGGGAGTCCACTTCCAGGTTCAGGAGGCAGGCTAGGCAGGCCAGACAGGTGGAAGGACAAGAGCAAAGGCACAGGGTATGGAGGGGTGGGGGGGCATGGTGTCCTCAGCCTGTCCCCTCTAAAAGCAACTGAATGCTAGTCCATGGAGCACGGGCTTCTTTAGTGCATCTACCTATTGTCTTGGACACACTTGTGAGAAACAAAGGCTGAGTCTCTACAGTGTGCCTGGAACTCACGGTACATCATGCTGGTCTTGTGATTGTGGTGTTCCCCCCAGCTCTGTCTCCTGACTTCTGGGACTATAGACATGCACTACCACACCCGGTCTCCTTCCCCATCAACAGATACATTCATCTGGAGCCACTGGGGAGGATGGGGCAGGACAGCTGTCTTAACCTCTTCAGGTTGCTATAACAAGATACCACTGACCAGGGAGCTGATAAGGAATGGGAGTTTATGTTTATACTCATGAAGGGGACTCCAATGTCTGGTAAGAAGCTGCTTCCCGGTTCTCGACAGCTGCCTTTTTCTGTCACCCAGATGACAGAAGCATCAGGGAAGCTCTGTGGAGGCTTCTTTTATAGGAACATCAATTCTATTCACAAGTGCTTGACCCTCAACAAACCAACTACCTCCCCAAGGCCTATCCCCTAAAGCCATCACCTTGGCATTGTGGACTTCCACATGTGAGTCAGGCAGAGGGACACCGACATTCAGACATTTGGGATAGGGGAGTAGATGGTAGGATGCTGGACGCTCTGATAGCCCCTCTTGAGGAGGTAGGTTTCTGAGATCATGGGCTGGGAACCCTTCATGGGTGTCAGCAGAGAAGTCAGCTTCAGCAAGGTCATTCAGGGGTGGATCTGGCAGAAGTCAGCTCCAAGGCTACCTCAGTTGCCCAGGTGAGGCTGCAAGGACTCACTCAAATGGAAGTAATTGGATTGATGCCTTAAACTTGAGTTTGGGCTTTCAATTTCACCACAAGACCTTACAAATAAAAATAAAGTGGCAAAAAGCTGCTAATGTCTCTACACACGGGGGCTGGAAGGTTTCCCCTGTACTTTAGAGGAAACCCAGAGTTGGACTGTCCCACTTAGCCAGCCAGCCACAAGAGCTAAGAACATTCGGGTGACTGGAGCTTACCAAGAACCAAAGCCGGAACACAGGAAGCCTTTCAGATCTCAGTTCACATTTCCATTCTTGTAGGGAATTTCCCCAGACTGACACAGGCCAACAGTTCCACGCGGTTTCTTTAGAGTGGCAGGCTTTCCTCCTGGGGCCACCATCCCCTGTCCCAGGCCCTCAGTTTTGTGAAGGTGGAATTCCCTCCACCCTCGCCTTCTCACTGCTTTGCCCCATGCTCAGGATTATGCCTAGCACAGAGCGGGAAGTCTCCCAGAGCCTGGGGTTCTAGGCACAGTTTGGAAATCACTGGAGGATGGCCAGTAAGTTCCAAACGTGTGGGGAGGAAGCTGCTACATTTCAAACTTAGCTAACTGCATGCCCCGGAGTGGAGAGAGTCAATACATGGGCCCTTTCTCTGTGACATCAAATCTTGGTGCTAGTGGCAAGAACCAGCAAGGGAAAGATAACCAGCCAACTGAGGTGGTCCCGGGTAGTACTCAGAAGTGGGGAAGATAAGGAGATAGTCTCTTTGGAGGCAAGCATCATTATGCTTTGCTGGCCAGAATCCAGGGCTGCTGTGGGATGTTCTCTAGGCTGTGAATGTGTTGCTCTGATTGGTTAACAAATAAAGTGCTGATTGGCCAGTAGCCAGGCAGGAAGTATAGGCAGGACAAAGAGAGAGGAGAATTCTGGGAAGTGGAAGGCTGAGTAAGGAGACGCTGCCAGCCGCCACCATGAGAAACAAGATGTAAGATACCAGTAAACCATGAGCCATGTGGCAAGGTATAGATTTGTAGAAATGGGTTAATTTAAGATATAAAAACTAAGGCCGGGCGGTGGTGGCACACGCCCTTAATCCCAGCACTCGGGAGGTAGAGGCAGGCGGATCTTTGTGAGTTCGAGGCCAGCCTGATCTACAGAGCGAGATCCAGGAAAGGCGCAAAGCTACACAGAGAAACCCTGTCTCGAAAAACAAAACAAAACAAAACAAAAACAAAAACAAAACAAAATAAAACAAAAAGATATAAAAACTAGATAGCAAGAAGCCTGAGCCATTAGGCCAAATAGTTTAAATAATATAAGCATCTGTGTGTTTATTTGAGTCTGAGTGGCTGCAGGCCCAGGCAGGACTGGAGATAACTCAAGCAACCAAGGGCTATAAATACTACTATTCCTTGACAGACATTACCAAATGGTCACAGCACAAGCTCCTGATTAGTCTGTTGTGATTCTGAATGTGAACTATGCCTCATAGGCTCATGTATTTGAACTTGATCTTCAGCTGGTGGTGATGTTTGAGAAGGTTCTGGAATATTTCCAAGGTGGAGCCTTACTGAATGAAATGGATTGCTGAGGGTGACTCTTGAGGTTCTAAAGCCCAGCCTCACTTCTTGTTCACTCTGCTTCCTGACTACAGACACAATATGACCAGCAGCCTCTTGCTGTCACACCTTCCTCAACGTGATGGGATCTTCTGAACAGTAAGCCAAAGCAAACCTTTCTTCCCTTAAATTACTTCTTGACAGATTATTTTTGTCACAATAATGAGAGATTAACAAATACACCCTGAGGCCTCCTCCAGAAGTGTCTCCATCTAGCACCAAGGGTGAAATCAATGTGACATCCTGGGTCTAGGTAATTTGGGGGAACAGGAAGGTCAGACACCCAAATGAAGGTGGGGGGCTTGTTTTTCTCACATCAATATAGAGGACATGAATTCTCTTTAATCACCCCAAATGGGGTGTCTTTCTCTAGCTGGCTTTCTGGGCTTCCTGTGCTGTCTCTCACTTGCTCTGAATCCCCTGTACAGTAAGCACAGTTGGCACCAGGCCTGGGAACACTCCTCAGGTGAGCTACAGGTGGTAACTGGGCCCCAAGAAAGACCTATCGAGGCTGCAGCATTAAAAAGAGCCAGGGAAAGTCAACCGCTTTCACACTGTTGGGGATGATTCTGGAAAGACCCCGTCATCCTGTCACGAAGGTTAGGTTTGTATTTGCTGAGGTCTTTTGCCTTTTTCTCTAAGGTGAGGTGGTCCCAAGGGCAGCTGGATGTAGCTGAAAGCCAAGGTAAGCTATGTGTGTTGAGCATCTTGAGGGCAAAGATCAAGGATTGGGAAAATATTTCCTTTGAATCCTGCAGAGCACATAGCTGTCCAAGCTGCAGGCTTACAGCCTGCCCTGTACCACATGTGTATCAGTTACTCTGAAAAGCACATACATTATTTCTACATTTTAAGACTTACAGAGTCAAACATGCTCTGAATTGATCGGTCCTACCCAATGTTTGGATATGCAGGCAATGCAAAACAATCAAATCCGATGGAGAGCTGAGAAAGGCCAGTCAGACATGCTGGCTCAGCATTGGCGTTAAGGCAGAAGGATTGTAGGAGTTTACAGTTGGCCTTGGCTTCACAGTACATTGTGAATTGCAAACCAATTTGGACTTAGGAATCAAACCTTGTCTCAAAATAAACAACAACAACAACAACTAAACAAGCAAAACAACAACAAAACCATCCTCAAACCCCAAAAATAAAGCAAACAAAAAGAATGGAAAAAAAAAGACAAAACAACATAACCCAGAAAGAAAGGTAAAGATGAGCCCTTCCACAACTACCCAAACAGATGCTATGAGGTCCCAGGTTAGACCCACTGACCCAACAGCAGGAAATCTCTCTAGTTCCTCTCTCAGAGCTTACTTACTCCAACTCCGCAAACAATCTGAATGAGTTCAATGTTTCGTTTGCTGAGAATAGCACATTAGGAAAGGCCCATGTGAAGATGTGGAGATATTGACAGCAGAAAGTACCAGCCAGGAGGAAGTTCATGCAAAGAACAAGCACATTAAGCTGTAGTATCAAGACCAGATAGTAATAGTTTGTAATACTTAACAAAAAGGCCAGAATCCTCAGACTGTTAAGGCCCAACCTCCAAATGCCTCCTGAGACCCGTGGGACTTCATAAGGATGTTGAACCTCTCAAAGAGGACCATTCAGTCAGACTATACCCACTTGAAAGGAGAAGGAATAGAGAGCATTCATTTCAGAAATACTTTATATGCAATGTGGCCTGTATTTTTATGTTTTAGAAACCAAAGAAGTAAGCTTTGGACAACAGGGAAGTTTATACGTAGGATCACCCGTCTGGTGTTGGAACTCAGGCTGCAGGGTATGGTGACCTCAGAGGTTTGAATAGATATACTGCCAGATTCCTGTATCAAGGTATTTTCCAAAGCTAGGAATTTATTCCAAAGGCAGAGACCAATACAGAAAGTGACTAAAACACGCAGGGAATGTCAGGTTCAGTTCGGGGAATAACCTGCCTTCCCCAACTGTACCAGGTGAGCTCACTCAGGGACAAGACAGCCCATTACACCATAGGTGGCTCTTTTTTTTTTTTTTTTTTTGCAATGGCACATCCAGAAACCCCAAAGACAGGTATATTTGTGTCACCCAGCTATGAGGGGAGTGAAGGGAGATATCAAAGGACTGGGACAAATGAACGCTTGTGCGGAGGTCAGCAGGAAGTCTTAGGATCTGCCACATGGTGCTTTCAGGGTTTCCGAGGCTTCATTTGCTGACATTTGATCTAAAACCTTGTAGAATGTGACACTTCAAAGAAATACATTTTATAGACATGTTGGAGTTAGGCTGGTCTGAACTCTGGCCTTGGCTCTTCTCCAGATGTGTGGCCTTAGACATTGTGTCACGTGACTAAGCCTCAGTTCCTTATCCGCAAGCTGGAGTAGTCATGGGTGTTCTAAAGCTCACTTGATCAAATTGTTGTGAAGATTAAATATGACAGTCTAATGGAACATCTAGACAGGGCCTGGCATATAGAAAATACTAAACAGATGCTAGTGATGACTATAAGACTTATTTGGTTACAGTCACCCTGCTAGGAAGAAGTAGAATGTGTGCTAGGAAATGTCTCAAATTCCTCCATCAGAGGTCACATGTCTCTCCGCACTACCTCCCTCAAAATGGCCGGTCTCATCCACCGGCGTGGTGGGAGGGGTCCTGAGAGAACCGAAACCTAGTGTCTGTCTTTCATCTCATTTTCTCCTAGAGGTGTGCCCAGCAAGGGAGGTTTTATGAGAGTATCATCAAGGATCTCACCGAATCAGCCCACTGGCTTGGGAGCTCGTTCTCTCCTGCATAGGACATCCAGGCCTGGCTCCTGTAGGATGAGGGAGGTGTTGGGATGAAGTAGCCGGTGAAGCCAGGTCTGTTGGCAGCTGGGATGGCAAACACCGCTGGCACCGTGTTACCTGCACAGAGGAAGTGGGTGGGAGGTCAGGAGAGTCTGGGCTCTGGATCCAGACCCCCACCCGCAAGAGCCAGCTAAACCCCATTTCATAGACCACCTGGCTGCCTGCTGGGCCCCAAATCTCAGCAAATCAGGCCTGAGGTGAGGAGCATGTTCTTGGCTATAATATGAAGCAGCTCTATGTAGGGCAGAGGAGATGCTGGGCGCAGAGACTCCATCTAATGCAGAGCAGAGCCCTGCTGGAGTGGCTGAAACTCTGGGTAATGCATCAGCGAAGAGGGTGGCTGAGGTGGAGGGCACCTGGCTCTCTTAGTGGAGCTCTTCCAAGGTCACGGTGACTGCCAAGGGGAGCAGGTGGTGCCCTACTCAGGGTATCTGGCACAGAGACCAAGTGGAGCTGAGATCCAGGCTGTGCCCTCTTTGCAGGGGTGGGTGCTACATCCACTTTTTTTCCCCCCACTTCTCTGGCTGCTTCACAGGCTAGCAGTGCCTCATTTTCCCATCCTCCTAAAGAGGGAGGAGAGTCCAGTCCTTCCCACGGCACCTGCATGAAGTCTAGTTCAGGAAGCTGGAAATCTAGGGAGGACTCTGACGTTGGTCCAGGTTAGAGGATGTGAGGGAAAAGGTCATTGGGGAGGAAGTAAGAGGCCTCATTCTGCAAGCCCAGCCCCCATCACCTGCCTAGTCAATGTGGCAGGCATCATCTGCTGTGGCTCAGACCAGCCATCCAGGCTTTGAAAGTCCAACTCCCCCTCTAGAGCCCCCATCCTCTCCCTCATCCTACCCTAATGGCCTTGACCTGTTCAGAGGAAAGGACACCTTGGACGCAGGTGCTTTCTTCCCAGGAGGACATGCGGTTTTAAAGATTTAACAAAAACAGTCAAAAGGAATGGATTTCACCAGAGGAATTCCTGGAAACCACAAATGGTTGGCAACTGGTGCTAGTAGGTCTAACCATAAAGGTATGGCATGTATACAATAAAAATTCAACCAGGTCACACACAAAGTAGGGTGTGTGCAAACCTCCAGTTCCATTTGTCATTGTCTGTCAGTTTGACCAAAAAAAACCCCACCACAACTGGAAATGACCCTTATGTCCATCAAAGGAATGGACCGTTGCACATCATGTCACGGGACATGATGGGAAGGATGGCGGTGGAAATGAATGGCTAACCCGTGCTCAGACAGCCATCTGGAGAAGTACTGCAACAATATCGAGTTAAGAAGACAGTGCAAAAGGAATGGGTAGTATATGATTTATGCAAATTTAAAATACATATAGAATTAGCATATATCTTTAAATAGGTACATAACACAACACAGGTCTAAAACCCATGGCCTGAGGACCATGGTCACCTTGGGAAAGAATGGCTATATGTGTCATGCTGTGAAGGTAAAATAAACAGAAACCTGAAATATGACAAAATATTAACATTACTTTGACTTTAGCATAACTAGGTATTTTGCGTGGTTTCAGTTTTTTGTTTTTTGTTTTTTTTTTAAATAAAACCAGTAGTTCCTCTGGTCCACCTGTGGTGGCTCTGGGTCCTGACAGCGGCAGTTTGTGTGGACTGGGAAGAAGGCTCCTCACAGGGAACAGGCTTCCTCTCCTCTGCTCACCTGAGTAATTTAAAGCCGATTGATCCAACTGCGTCACGGACACGGGACCTCTGGACACCTGGGCAAACGAGGCACTGTCATGCAACTGGGCGGGCTCAGGGCCTGTGGACTCAGCCATCCGGGTCTTGCTGCCGATATCTGATGTGGACCTGAGGAGGGCGGAGGGACCGTGTGGTGTGAGCATGCCTCAGGCACCAAGCAGTCACGTTACACTGAAAAGTGGTCTGACGTCATCAAGCCCCCGTTCCCATGAGGTCCTGGGACTGACTCGCTGCCAATAGCAACGGAACCGCTGGTGGCGTCCGCAGGCAGCAGGCACCCAGAACCTGCGATAGCGGGGTCGGTTTTTGTTCTTCCTGTTTGAGGTTAGTTCTCTAAGGATGGTTCTGGGTAGCAGAATATTTAATTTCCATGTAAAGGCAGCGAGGCAACTAGTTCTGGGTGTTAGCTGGGGACGGCAGACCTAGGAGGCAATGACATCTGGAGCAGCCAATGGGATGGACGGCTTTACCTCTAACGTGCGTTCCTGGCCTAATGCTCTGGGTTTCCGTGAAGGAAGTGTCATCCTCATGTGGGTGAGGACGGCAGATGGCGGAGAAGGTGGGGGTGGGGGATTGGCAGAAGAAACGGACAGATGATGGCTATCGGCAGACCTGCCACTAAGGACTGAGGTGGGCAACTGATCTGGAGAGTTCACAGAAGTAGCTCAGAATCCCGTGCTTCCTCAGGGAGGCTGGGGAGATCCGACCACACAGTAGGGTGGGCGGAGGAGGGGCGGTCAGTGTGGGGTCTCACTTTCTCATCCCTCCTTCCCTGTTGGCTTGTTCCCACAGCTCTGCTTCAGATGACCCTTTCCAGGAAAACTTCTGGATCTTTCCCTGTGCACTCTGCTGCGAGCCCTTCCTGAGGAGTCCTAGAGAGTTACATCAGGGACCCAAGAAGCAAGGTGGTCTGCCATGAATCACAAGGCAGACCTTTGGCAGATGAGGCAACGGGCCCCTTGGTCAGCTTCTTACCACCCCACCCTGGACACCACTGGCCTCAGGGATGATGTGAAGCAGGCTCGACCCTGAACGGTCAGAACTGAAAACAGCATCTTTCCTAGGGACGCTCCCCCCCTTTTTTTTTAAACCGCCTGCACAAAGTCCATGCCTGTGGCCCACAGATGGGCTGCCCAGTATGTTGGGGAAGGTTGTGGAGCAAGGCTGGGCCAGTGACCCAGCATTCCCCAGGGCAGGGTTATTCCTAGCTTGGGTATCAGAATTAGTTCATTCTTCCCCAGAGCTCCTGGTTTTTCTATTTCTTGTCCCACTTTATTAAAGACATGTGCCGGCTGTGTCAGTAAAGAACAAAGAGAAGGCGTAGCAAATGCCTCATGCTGAGACGTGTGAGTTCAGCCTCTCCGAAAAGTCAAGACTGGGAGTGGGTAGCCCAGACCCACTACTCCCTGGCCCCTGAGACACTGTCCTACAAATAGCAAAGGGACTTCTGGGTATGCTAACACAGGATGAGGCAGCTGCACTTGTCATTTTCATATCTTCAAGGTCAGGGTATGGGCAATCAAGGTGCAGGGCAATCAGGTTGGGCGGTTTGGATTGTGGGGTATCAGGGACCTTCTATTTAGAAAGGCATGCAAATTGTTCAGTGTGGTCTCCACTTCGTGACACTCCTGTGCCCCAGCCGCAGGGGCCGCACCTTGAACTGGGACAGGGAAGGGAGTGAGTTTACTGGTACGACTGCCCACAGGACTAAACAGCCTGGGGGTCAAATCTTTCCCAAATCTCCCAAAGCCATGAAAGGAATGCGTTACCGCCTGAGGGAAGCCACAGCCACAGGGCCTGTCCTGGGAGGTACAGGTGGCGGGGGAGAGCCCATGACCATTTCAGGAAGCTGGGAAAACCTGTAAGCCTGTGAAGAGACGAGCAAATTAGAGAGAGCTGTTTAAACCAGTGTCCCCCAGCACAAAGCTCCTTATTTAAGGAGGAAGAACCCTTCCAGGGGCCAGACCCTCAGTCCTCCCTCACATGTGTCCCCTAGATCTTCCTTACCCCAGTCCCCACGCTCATCCCATGCGCCTCTCTCTCTGTGGCTCTGGTTCGCTTGGACCACTGCAGTCCCAGAGCCCTTCAGTGGCCTTAGAGCACACTTTCCTCCTCGGGCTTTGGCAAATGCTGCTCCCTCTTCCTGGCATGATTTTCTCCTGGTTCTGCCCATCGCTCCTTCCTTTATAGCATTCAACCTGCCCCATACCTCCCTTTTCTCTGTCTAAGGAAATGAGTACTTATTGGCTAAATTATAGGGCTCCTTGCTTATTCATCATCCGCCACCAGCTAGACTGTAATCTGAGGTTTTAAGGGTAAGGTTTTGTTGTCAGTAATATCATGCCTGGAATAGTGCGTAGCAGAAGATCAATAAATATTAGCGCAGAAGAAGGAATGAATGAATGGCTGGGGCAGTTTCCTTTCTCGGGGAACGGGATTTAATGTGGGAAAGTAGTGTGTTGGGGTGGCGGGGAGAGGGGGTGAGGCAGGAGGATCTCATGAACAGACTTTCAACTCCTAGGGAAGTCAGGTGGCCTCTGTGGATTCCAATGTCCTCTTCTGAAGTGGAGACATCAATACTGTACTCAGGGCGTTACTGAGAAGATAGGCAAGGCCCTGTGTGTGCACAGACTGTGCAGCCAAAGCACAGACTTCGGTCAACATTCGAGGGGATACAGGAAAGACAGACAGGATCAATGGGGGTCAGGGCAAGGCTTACTGTATCGAGAGGAAATCTAGAGATGCTCTTGGGGTAGACAGAGCTCAACTTGTCTTTTTAGGACAGTGTGCTTGCCTATCAGACTCTCAAAAAGAACAGGATGGCAGGCCTTTAGCCCCCAAAGTGTCAGCACAAAATTCTGCAGAGAGGGGACCCCATAAACAGTATTCTTTTGAACTGGAAAAGGCCCCCTGCCCCCCTCTAGCACTACAGCAAACACCACACTGTCAGGGCTAACCCATGTAATAGCAGCGAGGCGGCAGAGAAAACACACTTTCGAAAGGCACCATGAAAATTGTGAGCTGTAAGGGAAATCGCTCAGGACAGCTCTGGTACCCTTCCTCCCCTGCATCTCAGCAAACTAAAACAGAACTGTGAGCTGATGCCAGAGGTGGAAAAAGTGAGCAGGAAGCAAATGCAAAAGATGTGGCTTCCCAGAAGATAAATTGGGCAACCGATGTCCAATTATGATTTCAGGCTTCAGCACAGGGCATGTGGTTGAGGTAGGCATGTGCCTGGCAAGCCTGGCCTCTCCTTGGGAGGGTGACTGGTGAGGTTTCAAAGTCTACATGGAAACACCTGGAAATTCTCTTTCTAAAGTATTAGATAGGCACTTATACTACAAACAGGAGCTGATGAAATGTACCAGAGGGAGGAATGAATATCAGTACCAAGGGCACAGACACAAACTTTTAAAGACTTCCAAGTTTCAACTGTCCAGACATAAAACAAACAAAAATAACATTGTAAGAAATGTTGTTGTTGTTGAAGAGTTAATCAAGCAGGGCTGATGGCTAGTGATTAAGAGCACATACTGTTCTGTTCTTCCACAGGACGAGAGTCCAGTTCCCAGCCCCCGAATCAGACAGCTCACAACCGCCTGTAACCTCAGCTCCAACACCTTTTCTGGCCCAGTGGGCATGATGCTTGCATGTATAAAAACCACATTCTAACATAGCACATATCATACAATTTAAAAATAAATATACATTTTTTTTTAAAAAAAGTATTAACTGACCAAATTGAGATGTCATCAGGAATGCTATAGCATACTCAAAAACAACTTTCAGACATGAAAGAGGGTTCCTGAGCTAAAGCATTCAGTGTCAGGGAATTCAATTCTGTGCATTCAGAATTGATGAAGCGAGAATTAAGAAACTTGGAAACAGAACTGAGGAACTTAGTGAAAACTAACTGGAAAAAATAGGAAATTGAAAATATAAAAAGAAAAGATGCAGAGTTGGGGGATGAACAGGTCTGACATCGGTATCTCGATGCCGAAGAACAGGAGAGGAGGAGTGATGTTGAGCGTCTTCCTACATTGCTCTCCACTTTATCATCCTAGGCAGGGTCTCCTACTGCATACAGCAAGAGCTTTATCCACCACACCATCTTCACAGATCTATGAAACTATTTTATCAGACACGAAACACTTACTTGAAAGCAGTGCGTCTGGTTGAAATCGGGGAGAGAAAGGATGATAAATTTGGCCCGTCCCTATTTCATGACGGCTTCCTGTGGTGCTTCCTGAACTCCGAGTTTTGCAGACAGGTTGAAAACCATTGTCCTGCATGCCTTCCCAGATGTACCTTCAGAATTCTTAATAATTCAACAAGTGATGTGCTCCCTTCACAAAATAAAGGGGTTCACAACCCCTCTGTCTCTTCTGGCCTCTGATGCTATTCAGCTAAGGATGCAGACATCTATTTTTATCCCTGGATCTTGGAAGGCTTATTCTGTACTCAACACAGTTTTCTAGCCAAGAAAAAAAAAAAAAGATTTGACAAAAAGTTCTGCACTTCTGTTGAGCGTTAAAGGAGTCCCCTTTATTAGTGGGCTTTTTCAGGCATAAAGCACACCTACATGAGACAGCAGATTCTCCACTCTAGGACTATGTCCTTGGAACTTTGGCAGTCACATAAACAGCAGAGATGGCCATTGCAAGTGTGCATGAGCTGAGAAAATCTTTCTCCCTTTCCTCTATGTAAGTTCCAGAGGTTCTGAATTCCTGTCTTGCATCCTGGGTCCCTTTCTGCGTCCATTCAATCTGGCATTTGTTGGCTCCTGTGTGATGGGGAGCTGTTCCTCCTGCACCACTAGAAGCCATCTACTATTCAAAACTATTGATGGCACCCCAAGCTTGTCATTCCACAGTTATGCTTGATGTGCTCAGCTTGTCACCCAAGAATGCATCTTGTGGGTTTAGGGGTGTGGAGGGGTCCCTGTTCTCTGGACAGGAAAGGCTGGAGACTCAGAACTCAAGGCAGCCTTTATAAATGTCTCTGGTCTCCAAGGCTGAAAGAGGCTGGCTATGACTAAATAAGGCAATATTTGGGCTCAGAAATTCCATTGCAATGTGAAGAGAATGAAGGCGATGCTCCAGTCCACTTGGGTTGGGGGTGAAGGACCAGGGCATAGCTATCTTCCCTGGCAATCTCTGTGGAGTGAACACAGATAGGTAGGAGCCTCCTGTGAGCATACAGTTACTAAAAGAGAGACAGCTGGACATGTGAACACAGGATAGCACCAGAGCAATAAAGGGCTGACAGCAGCATCCCAACTGGAGCAGGCCAGGGGATCTTGGGCTTTGTATTGGCAGAGGAAGGTAGACTCATGGTCAAAGCTCAACTATCCTCATTAGAAGCTGCATTGGCTAGCCTTCTGTACTAGTACTATAATTACCCAAGAGAATCTATTTATCATCCAAGAAAAGTTTTCTTTTTATGTTTTCACTTGAAGATTTAGACGTTTCAGTCTATGGTTGGTTGGTCCCATTGCATTGGTCTTGTGGTAGTGCATCATGGGAGGAAGAGGAAGAGACTGGGGTTCTATCACTCCTTTTAAAGGCATATCTCCAGTGATCTGACTACAATCCCCTGCCACATTAGGCCTCACCTCTTAAAGACTCTACCACCTATCAATAGTACCATGGGCTCGGGGACAACTCAGATCCAACCTACAGCAGAAGCCCTTGCCCATGGCCAGCAATCCACTCTCTTCATATCCAGTGACAGGTAACTTTGTACAGACTAGATCTTCTAGAAGGATAGTTCTGACTTTTTAAAACATGGGCTTGACAATTAAAATCTCACTCTAAGAAGAAACAAAACTCATTATTTATCTTGATCGCTCAACCAACCAAGAGCAACGGACAGAGCAGTGTCTAAGAGCAGTGGACACAGCAGTGTCTAAGAGCAGTGGACAGAGCCTCTCAAAGCTGGCTGTCTAGCTTAATCTGAGACAAGTAGGTACTCAGTAAGTGTGAACTATTTTCTTCTGAGACAAAATAATACTCTGATATGGTAACTGAAATAATCAAGATTTGTTTCCCTCCCACAGTTCTTTGAATCTAAGATCCTTTCCATACTCCAACCAACATCCAGGATATCCCAGATTCTTGCCTCAGGGAAGGAAAGTCTCAGCAGATTGAAACTTGCCAAGAGTTGATTCTTTCTGACACTTCAAAAAATAGGAGTTACTAATCACAAAGCCCTAGATTATGAGTATCAACCATTTAAGTCCTAAAGCCCGTGGGGTCTAAATTTGATGCCATGATAGACTAAAGACCTGGAAGAAATAAGGAACATTTAGAGCACTTTGTCTCAGGACTTAACAAACACCCTTTGATTGAAAGGGAAGTTGGAAGGGAGGCAACAGAGTCTAGGATGCCAATGGATTTGTTACAGGGGTGTTGCAGAACAATCTTTTTGTACACTGTGAAGATGTATTGCTTTCATTGGTTTAATAAAGAGCCAAATGGCCAATAGTTAGGTAGGAAGAGGTTAGGCGGGACTTGGCGACAAGGAGAGAGCTGGTTGGTATGAAGAAGGGCAGAGCCACCAGGAGAAGCAAGATAAACATGCTGTGCTGAAAAAAGGTACCACCAAGTGGTAGAGCACAGATTAAAAAGTATGGGTTAATTTAAGTTGTAAGTGCTAGTCAGTAACAAGCACAAGCTATCAGCTGAGCATTTATAATTAATAATAAGTCTCTGTGTGGTTATTTGGGAGCTGGCTGGTGGGACAGAAAATTATGCCTACGCAGGGGCTATTTCCTGTCTCACCCTGTGGGATGAGGATCTAAATCCCATGAAGATGTGGGTAAGTCTGAAAGTCAGGACCTGTGTGCACCTCTAGGAAAGCTTAGGAATCTGAAGCCTTCCACCCCAATGTAGGATAGAAGAGTCAGAGGATGAGGGAGCCAGATGCAAGGGCTTTTAATAGTCCTGCAGGGATAGGTGAGGACGTTTCTGGAGACAGGATGGAGTGGGTGAGCAAGCCTCTCATGAGAGAGTGAGAACAGGAGGATGGGAAAGAAAAGAAACAGGAATGGAAGGAGAGCCAGCACTAGCATGCAAGGACAGACAGTAAGGGAGGAGAAGAGGGAGGAGTCTGGTAAGGACTTCTCCACACTAAAGGAAGGTGCCACTGTCCTCTTCTGGCATGCACTTTTCGGGGATGCCATCCAGGGCATGAGGAAAACTGGGACCAGAAGCTGCAGCCTTCTCCCTGACTCCCCCTACAGTTTCGCATCATGCAGGTGCCCAGACATCAGTAGGAGCCTGAGCTGACCAAGATGGTGATGGAAAAACAAAGCTGGTTTTCCTGGAACAGCCAGAAAAACACCCAGCGACTATTACGGTTTCAGTATGGCATTTCCCTGTAGGCTCGTGGGTACGCATTGGTCACCAACTGGTGGTATCTGAGGAGAGGTTATGGAACCTTTAGGAGGTAGGGCTAAGCTGAAGGAAGTGAGTCTTCGGGCGTATCTTATCCCTGGTCCCCCTTTTCCTTCAAAACATGGGCCAAACCCTCTGAAGCCAGGAGCTAGCTTCAGCTTTCCTTCTTCAGGCCATTCACTCAGGCATCTGTGTCCTCGTGACATGGCAGTAACTAATTCAGTGGGCAGGGCGAGGCGTTCTCCAGATTTTTCCCTTCTCTTCCCATGCAACAACCTTCCTGTAGATCCGGTGGCTCTCCTAAGTTTAGTGGAGCATGCTTTGGTCAGATATCCAGAGCTCTGCAAGTTTCCAGGGGGACTGCTCAGGGAAGAGAAAAGGCAAACAGCCTTCCGCTCACCGAGTCAGTCAGTGAGGCACAGTGGCCTGCCTTCAAGGATCCTGAGAACTGCACGACACACGATCAACTGTGACTGGTCGGGAGCATCCCCTGCAATTACTTACCCACCTGGCCAGACGGAAGCTCAGGACAGACTCAAATTTTATTTGGAGAAATACAAGCGATGTGATAGATTGTGAATCCTGGCACTGTGGTGACTATAAACATGCCTGATATGTTGGCATGGTTTATTATTAAAGGTCTGGGAGACGACTCTTCTGTTTGTAAGGGGGAAGGAGGAACGTAAACTTGTCAAACCCCCAATGTCACCCCCCTAGAGCTGTCTCCCTTACTAGGCCAATAACAGGAATGGAAAAGCCGCCCCCCCCAGACTAATTCATCTTCCTATGACTTCCAACAGTATAGATATTTGCATTTCCATTACAGCTGGGGGGACATTCCCTATAACTCACATTGAGTCAGGGGATGGAAAACGTGTCAGCATCAGTGTTAGACAGCAGTAAGTTCTAACCCACTTCTGCCGTCAAGAACGGCTCAGTTGGTCCCCATCTACAGATCCCAGTAATGACTGAAGATGGGAAGTACTCAGAAAGAAAACGGAGGCTACACTGAGCACATACAAACTTTTCTTATAATTATTCCCCAAACAATAGATGACGACTATTCGCGTAGTGTTTGGGTTATGTCCTGCTAGGCATTCTAAGTAACCTAGAGATGACACAGGAGCTTATGAGTGGGTTACATGTGCAAACGAGGCCTATGATGGACTTGAGTATGGAGGGGTTCTGCTGCTTTTTGAGGGGTCTCGAACCTGTCCCCTGTGGACATCAAGGGGTGACTGTGAGAAACATGGACAAGTTTCTTCACTCTTCCCAACCTGTTTTCTGAGTACTTGGGGCTAGTGGCAGCAACATCATGGGAGGGTTGATAGATTGGGAGAGATCATGTCTACACAGCATTTACATCAGAATGCAGCCACCAATGGGGACCAATAGAGGGCAAGTGCTATTATTAGCAGTACTGTTGACTCCTCTGTAGAGAGTCTGGGGTGGGGGGGAGATGTTTCAACCCTAATGCCTTTTTAAGAGTCCTCACACTCTCGCCGGCAGGAAAGCTGTAGGATATTTTCATCCCACGTGGCATAGACCCATTAAGGCTGCTAGCAAGATTGGATTGGTCGTTGGGTGTCAGGTCCAATTTCTTTATAGATTCAAGAGGTAAAATATGAGCAAAGCCTCCCAAACTGCACCGCAGAAATCCCAAGATGCTAGCAGTAACCTTACCCATGATGTAAATCCCACGAGGCTGGCCCTGACACATTAAAAACACCAGCTCCCAATTATCCCCCCAGCAGGGTTTGGAGCACTTTCTTTTCTTTTCTTTTTCTTTTTTTTTAAGACAAGAAGTAATCATAGTTATCATGTTGCTTTTTCTACTGATTTTCACATTATCACAGCAAGGGGGCTCTGCAAGACCTTGGGTTGAGCATCATCATCTCCATTGTGTGTTGTTGGCTATTTTCTCCTTTCATGGAGACAGGAGTCTCCTGTACACTGGGCAGAGAAGGAAACCTTGACAACGAATGGATAGTCTTTAGTGTGTTCTGGTCTGATGGTTTGCCCCGAGGTTGGGTTATGCCTCAGACCTTTCCCCTATGAAGCACCACAGTTTCTGATGGGATTGTCCTGTTCAGCACAATTGCCAACTCCCAATCACAACAAGCAGATGCCTGAATATTCACATGTCCCATGGTTTTAAATGGCTTTATTGGACTGAGGTGTAAGGGCTATGGCAACAGCTCACTCAATGCTGACTGGAAGACCTTTCTCGGTCATCTAAAGTTTTCTGAAACCCAGAGCCCTTTGGGTTCCTAGAATTAGCCTCCAGCCAGTGGCTCCCAAGACTTGTCACCAAACAAAAGCAAAGTTTCCTTGGGACCCTGAGGTGGGGCATTAAGTGCGTATCCTAAATGGGCTTAACAGAGCAGGAGAAGGAGAAGTGGTCTCAGAAAGTGGAGAGGGACATAGACAGTAGGCCCAGCAAAACAGAAGAACTAGTTAGATAATAATGGACACCGTCTGTCAAATAATTTGATGAGTTGGCACCATGCCAAGCAGTCTACTGATTATCAACCAACTGGTCTAGGATGTTTGCTAGGTGCCAGGACTGTGCTAACCATTTAGCAGGAACTAACAACCCTCTTACAACCACCACTATAAGCAGACTCTGAGACTCAGAACTAGTCCGAGATTATCTGGTTGGTGAGCACCATTCCACTTTGGGCTAGGGGTCAAGTTTAGGGATCCTGATACAGAGACTGGAAGTGATGAGTCAATGAAGTGGGTGGTAATCAAAACAGAACAGATATGAGTGGCCTTTTCCAGAAGACAACTTCCTAGGAGGGGTATATAAATGCGTTAAGACTGGGGTATTTTATAGATCTCAGGGAGGAAATTCCCTCCCTGAATGGGGCAGGTACCAACTTAATACACGTTATCAGAACACTGTGATCTTGGAAACTGGAATATGGATGATGATGTGGGAAAGCATTTTATTATTTACTTATTTATTCATTCATTCATTCGTTTATTTATTTATTGGTTTTTCAAGACAGGTTTTCTCTGTGTAGCTCTGGCTGTCCTGGAACTGGCTCTGTAGACCAGGCTGGCCTCAGACTCACAGAGATCTTCCTGCCTGTGTCTCCCAAGTGCTGAGATTAAAGGCCTGTGCCACCACATCTGGCTGTGAAAGCATCTTATAACAGCAAATATGTAAGTCTGAGAGAGACTGTTGCCATCTTTTCAGATCCAGGCCTTTGGGAATGTGACTGGAGTGGCCTTTGAGTTGCTGACATTTTTTTAGGAATGCATGGTTTCTAAAGTTTTCTAATGGCAGTGACAAATTTATACTCCCCAAATATATTGTATCTTTTAAATTATGTTAAGAAGATGTATGAGTGGCCAACAAAACCATGGGAAGGTGCTCAAATCACTAATCATTAGAGAAACACAAACAAAAGCATAATGAGAGCTACCTCAAACTCACTGGGATGTCTACTATCAAGAGAACAGAAAACAACAACCATTGATGAGATGTGAAGAAACCAGAAAGTCATTGTTGGAGAGAATGAAAATGGTACAACCATTGTAGACAACGATGCCAGTAGAAAATAGAACTCCATGTGACCCAGCATCCCTACTCACGGGGAGATAGGTACCCCAAAAGGTGAAAGCAAGAACTGGAAGAGATATTTGTATACCTGTGTGAGAATCAGCACAATTTACTATGGCCAAAAGTGAAGACAACTCAAGTCTGTACACATTGTCAGACAAACAGATACGATGTGGTATGTACATTTGAGTATTATCCAGCTTTAAAATTTAGGAAGGGCCTTCTGATGCATGCTACGTGGATTAAACTTGAGGACTATGCTAAGTGAAATATTCCCATCATATAAAGACAAATATTAGGTATGAAGCACGTAAAGTAGACAACTTTATAGACAGAAGTAAGTGGTGGTTTCCAGGACTATGGGGGGAAAACAAGGGAGTCTTTTTTAATGAGGATCACGTTGGCAAGATGAAGCGTCCTAGAGATAGTTGCACAAGATGTGAGTATGTGAATACCACCAAACTGTATACTTTAAAATAGTTAATATGCTGAGTGTTGGGGGCTGGAGAGATGGCTCAGTGGTTAAGAAGATGCTCTTTTTTTTTTTTTTTTTTTTTTTTTGAGACATGGTTTCTCTGTGTAGCTTTGGTGCCTTTCCTGGAACTCACTCTGTAGCCCAGTCTGGCCTCGAACTCACAGAGATCCGCCTGCCTGTGCCTCCCGAGTGCTAAGATTAAAGGCATGCACCGCCACCACCTGGCTGAGCACGCTCTTTTGGAAGACCATGGTTCCATTCCTAGCACCCAGATGGCAACTCACAAATGTCTGTAACACAAGTTTCCTGGGGGCTGGACACCCTCTTCTGTAAGATAGGAATAAAACTGCCCTTGTCTCAGAGGTAGATTGTACAGATTGCAGAGCATACAACTAACGCCCAGCTCAGCGCAGCATATAATAATTAACTCTTATGCACTTACAGAGGAACGTCCTACTTACTAGGCAGTAGGTTATTGTTCATATGTATTTATTTTTACCAGCAGAAACTTAAAACAACTTCCTCAGGTTCCAAAGCCAGAAAGTGGTCAGGGTGGGATTCAAGGTCAAGCCACGTGGCTCACAGCCTACGTTCTTAGCCACAGGGATGCACAGGCCCTTCACGCGGGACTTCTTGATGCCTTTTGACATTTTAATTGGGTTTCATGTCTGAGTGGAGAAAACCACCAGTGAGTGGAGAATGGGGTCAACCCTTTCAGGAGTGATAGCAGAAAAGGGAATGCCTCAAAAATGGGTTAAGGTTTCACATTAGGCTCCTCGGGGACCTGTCCCACAAGAACAAGGTCTGGCTGTGGATCATGAGTGAAGAATGAGAAGAGACTCCAGGAAGGCTGGTCTCTAAACCCCCAAATCCCGGCTGTGGGTCGCCTGTTGGACTGTGGTAGGAAGAGCAAACCCAAAGACCGGGAGCTGGTGGCCGGGAGCTGTGACTTACCGGTCGGGGCAGACTGTATTGGTACATTTCTGGGCGGTAGGTGGGCACCCACTGCACTCCAGCCCGGGGCCGTGTCATGGTCCCTGGAGCACTAGTCACCACCTCTGAGTAGGGCAGGTGCTGAGTAGAGCCGTAGGCCTCCGGGTGCCGGCTTTGGCCTGCATGGCCGGCGGATGCCAGGCTGAAGGCCTCCTCCAGGAGCATGTGCATCTGTTGCCGGACTTCATCGATGGAAGGCTGTGAGCTCAGCGTGGAGGTCTCTGAGTGGCCCTTCACCTGCCGGGCCCTGCCGTAGCCCCGGGGCTCATGGACTCTGTCCACATTGGTTTCCTCTATGATCTCGGGCTCAGTCTGTGGGATCAAACAAAACGCAGCAATTTGTTAATGAAGCTCTTTCTTGAATCTTAAACTATTCACTGGGGCTGATGAGATAATGAGTCTGTGCTAACTTAGGTCATAGCCAATGTGCTCTATCTAGGAATTCCCACAGCAGGAGCAGTCAGCTCGGGTTACACAGGCAAGGCTGTATTCCAACTACCATTGTAGTCTTCAGGTGTCCACACTACACCAGTCCCGCAGACTTTCTAATTAGCATAATAATGAGATATGGCTCTCACTGATTAAATTAATGGCATTCTCAAAATCTAGATGCCTTTGGGTATAAGAATGTGGAGCATTCTGTAGTCTATACCCCAAAGGATGGCAAATCACTTTAAATGAGCCTGGCTCCGGCCACTGGTTAGGGATTTCCTGGTTTCCTGATTCCATTTATCATGCATGGAGAGCAACACAGTCTTCCTTATACACAGATGGTCTACAAGTTATCATGTGACATGAACGAAAAGCCCTGAATGGGGCCCAGCTGGAGCATGCCAGGAGACTGATGCCTGCTCAAGTCTGAGATCTATTGATCTAGAACATTCTCTTTCACCTGCACCCATCATTCAGGGTGTAGCTGTAGAACTGAGAGGGATAGATAGACAACTGGATCTCATTAGCGTCAGAGAAGTCTACATGGACAATCAGCTTCAGTTGATGAAGGTATGTTTAGTACATTGTTTATTCTGTTCTGTGGGATGCCTGTGAGGGCCCATTCCTCACCAGTTCTATGGGATGCATGTAAGTGCTCACGCTGTCACACCGGCCACGCACAAACTTCAGAATGCAAAAAGCAGGAGACAAGGGATGGCTCAGGTGGTCCAGTCCACTGCTCCACAGTAACTACTGTGGTAAGAGCCAGATCTAAGGTGCACCGAGAAGCTAAAAACTAGGGCGTTCAAGATGTCCCAGCCTGGAAAGCTGCTTTATTTCCACTTCTTCATTTGTGAAAGGATGATGTACTGCCCCAGAGGGGTGTACAAGGATTCAGTGGACGTCTTTGTGAAGATTTAGAACAGTGGCGCAGGGCACAGACACGCTAGCGCTCTCATCACCATTAGTGCTGTCACTCATACAAGTTCTCACGAATTGGAATTACTATGAATGAGGCACTTGGCTGCTAAAATGGACACCACAGCAAGATATCAGTAGGGAATCCATTCACACAGGCAAGCCCTGCGCTCACAGATCACAGAAGTCAGGGCTGCGATATATTCATGTTTGCGATGGATAATTCTACGTCAACTTCACACAAGCTAAGGTCATCTGAAAGGAACCTCAGTTAAGGGAATAACTATAAGATCAGGCTGTAGGCAGGTCTGTAGGGCATTTTCTTAATTAGTGGTTGATGGTAGAGGGCCCAGCCCACGGTGGGTGGTGCCATCCCTGGGCTGGTGGTCCTGGATTCTATCAGAAAGCAGGCTGAGCAAGCCTGGAGAGCAAGTCAGTAAGCAGCACTCCTCCATGGCCTCTGCATCAGCTCCTGCCTGCAGGTTCCCATCCTCTATGAGTTCTTGCCCTGAGTTCCTTCAGTGATGGACTATGGTATGGAAGTATAAGCCACATAAACCCTTGCTTTTGGTCTTGGTATTTTTTTTTTGTTTTGTTTTGTTTTTGTTTTTTCGAGACAGGGTTTCTCTGTGTAGCTTTGCGCCTTTCCTGGAACTCACTTGGTAGCCCAGGCTGGCCTCGAACTCACAGAGATCCTCCTGCCTCTGCCTCCCGAGTGCTGGGATTAAAGGCGTGCGCCACCACCGCCCGGCTCAAATACTACTTCTTATTTTAACATATGCAAAGCAGTTCATAGGATAGGACATAAAATTATCCCCTAATACAAGGACATGTCATGCCACTGAGATCTTAGAAGGCTTGTGATCATTGTCTGGGAAGTGGGTTTTCTGAAGGCCAGCAAACCTGCCTGTTAAGATTTTGCCCAGAGATATCTTCTAGATAACAAGGACAACTTCTAGAAGAAAGTTTCTGTATAATGCAGAGAACATTGGGAATTGAAGTTCAAAGCCTGGGGTCTTTAATTCAAGCTCCATTGTAAAGGAGAGGGAGCTGAGGCCAGAGCAGTTAACTGATTTGCTCAAAGTCACCTGGAGTGGGTGTGTTTTCCTGGGCATGTCCCACTGTGCCGTATGCCTCATCAATGCCTGTTGCTACCCACACAGGGCCTTCCTCCCCATTTCTTCAGTCTCCCTAATACATAATGGATGTTAATGCCAGATTACTCCCAGGTGAGAGATTAATGGCACCAAGGTGAGCTGAGCCATGGTTTGCCACCTTTCAGTGGTATTATGCATCTGAAGTCAGAAGATTGAATATATTCTTGTGTGAATTTAGAGTTGTGTGTTAGGCAGGGCAAGAGTGCATGTCTTAGTAACATATCTTACTCTCCCTCTCCTCCTCAAGATCCCCGGGGTGGGGCTGTGCAAGGGCACAGGCTGGGGGCAGGGCACCTCTCTGAGTTGGTTCCTGTGCTGGGAAACATTGACTCCAGGCTCCTGCAGTCATCTGCCACCATACTGCCCCAGCAGAAGTTAACTCTTGATTCTTTCAACAGGGTTTTCATCCTGCACCGGGGCTTCCTTTAATCTAAGTGTCCAGTGTCATGGCCCATGGCCGGCAAAGACTTTTGTTCTGTCCCAGTTCTCAGGTGGTTTTTAGTCTTTCCTTCTCCACAGATGGAAACAAGCCTAGCTCCCACCGACTCTGGCTCAGGATATGCTTGAATTTGTTTAATGTCTGTTTTGCCCCCCACCAGACACCCCCTGAACTCACGGCACTTCTCTTTCTCACGAGGCCACACTAAGGCACTTGGCATTCAATAAAACTTTGAGACTCAACCTGACTTTAGAAATCCCACCCAGCTCCCCATGGGGTGTGCCTGAGGTTAAGATGGAAGGTCCACTTTCTTTATCACATTTCCTCCAATGCTAATGAACTGTTTGACACGTGGGCAAGCTGCATGGACCCCCTGGGACTCGGAATGCTGCTCTCTGTAGTTCAACTGAACTACAACTGTCTGACGTTTATCATCTGTCTTGACTAGTTTTATGCCAACTTGACACAAGCTAGAATCATCCAAAAGGAGGGAATCTTAATTGAGAAAATGCCTCCAGAAGATCCAGCTGCAAGGCATTTTCTTAACATTGTGGGTGGGTTCATCCTGGGCGAGTAATTCTGAGTTCTGTAAGAAAGCAGGCTGAGCAAGCCATGAGAACAAGCCAGTAAGCAGCACCCCTCCATGGCCTCTGCCTCAGCTCCTGCCTCTGGGATCCTGCCCTGCTTGAGTTCCTGTCCTGACTTCCTTCAATGATAAACAGTGCTATGGAAGCATAAGCCAAATAAACCCTTTCCTCCCCAAGTTTCTTTGATCACGATGTTTCATCACAGCAATAGAAACCTTAACTAAGACACCATCTCTTGAACTCCAACAGTCCCAGGAAGTGCCACATCCCTCTAACCTCAGTCCCCTGATGTCCACTCAGGAAGGGAAACACCTCCATGCCCTCTGCTTGCAGCACGGGTCATAGGTTTCTTTTCCTGATGGGACAATTACTGATTTCAGCCCTTAGTTCTTTTTCAGGCTTCATTAAGAATTATGAAGCAATCACTAAAACTGTGACCTGGCCTTGAAGGAGTATCCTCTAGGAGAGATTAAACAACAACAGTAATATCAGCTATCAGTGATGAGTAGCTTATATGCCAGGCACTGTTGTCTGAATTTTGTATACATCGACCCTTCTTACTCTCACATACTAATGAGTATGATTATTTGTATTGTACAGATGAGCAAATCCAGGCATTGACAAGTCCAACAGAAAGCTCTTATCCATTATATAAACAGATCTCTTACCACCCCATAGGTGTGTGCTCTGACCAAAACCAAAATAGACTTCTGAGACAAGGACAGAGATAGAGGAATCATTAAGATTATCTCAGAGACCATAGGAAAAAAGCACCAGTGTATAAACAAAGTGCTCAGTAGTAAACCTAACAATAAGCAGTTGATGAATACCAACTACCCCCACCTGATGGGCCACTCTTCTGGGGTTTTCCATCTATAGCTAATGAGTTAGGGCAACCATAGCCCTCAATTCAGGGCTGCATGCCTAAAGCCATTGATTGGTTGTTGAGTGAAAGAAATCTGTGGTGATATTGTGTTCCCCAAAATATTGTGCACCCTAATAAATTTATCTGGGATCAGAGACAAAACAGCCACTAGATACAAAGGCTAGAAAATGGTGGTACTCACGCCTTTAATCCTAGCATTCCAGAGACAGAAATCCCTCTGGATCTCTGTGAGTTCAAGGCCACATTGGAAATAGCCAAGCATGATGACTCATGCCTTTAATCCCAGAAAGTGAGCCTTTAATCCCAGGGAGTGATGGTAGAAAGCAGAAAGGTTTATAAGGCATGAGGACCAGAAACTAGAAGCATTTGGACTGGTTAAGCATTTGGCTGGTTAAGCATTAGATTTTGAGCAGCACAGTTCAGTTGAGACCCATTCTGGATTAGGAAACAAGACCAGCTGAGGATCCATCAAGGTGAGGTAACTGTGGCTTGTTCTGGTTCTCTGTTCTTCCAGTTCACCCCCAATACCTGGCTCAGGTTTGATTTTATTAATAAGAACTTCTAAGATTCCTGCTACAGAAATCCACGTAGTGCGTATTTACATTAGCTTGAGGGCCTGTAATATTCTGGCCCTATGAGGAGTCTACCATATGTGTTGCCTTGTTTAGCCTCACAGGAACATATAACAGATGTATCCATTTTCAGATGAGGGAGACCACGACCACTAGCTTACCTGGTGTGGTAGTTTGAATGTAATTGAGCCCAAAATCTCATAAGGAGTGGCACTATTGGGAGGTGTGGCTTTGTTGGAGTGGGTATGGCCTTGTTGGAGGAAGTCTGTCACTGTGGGGGCAGCCTTTGAGGTTCCCTATGCTCAGAATACGGTCCAATGT